ACACACACACGCACGCACGCACGCACGCACGCACGCACGCGCGCACATATATATATTTTTTTTAAATAAAAAATGCTGATTGATATGTGGTAATATTATTGAGATTTCGAGTTTATCGCGTTAATTCATAAAAAATCAATTGGACTTTCTATAAATTCAGCACACGGTTCTGGTACTTTCAAAGATTTATCAATATATTATATGTATGAGGATTGTGTTTTAAAGGAGTATAATTTATAATCCCCTTAATATTATGGGTAATATTGGAATTATTACGCCATCTACATTCAATATGCTATTATATTTTAAAAATGTTACTAATGCAACTATTATTTGCATATGACAAATATAATTTAAGAAAGAAAGTTGATTTTATTTTTTATTTCTATTATATCTGTTTTTAAATAATTTATTTTTCGCATTCCATTAAAGAAACTTTACAAGTAAATATTTTGCATTAAAAAAAAGAACACTTATATTTCAATTGATGTTCTATGCAATGAATAAGATATTAACTTTTTTTTTCAAATGAAAATTTTACTATTCAGAGTTGTATAACAAATAAATTAGCTTAATAATATTTAACGTAGAGGCGGGGGTAAATAAAGCAGTAAGGTGCTTAATTTCAATGTTGAATAGCTATTGGTCTATTTTCCTTAATCTCACCAGGTTCGTGCCACTGACTTAAAGCACGAGTGCCACAGCACATTGCCAACAAAGAGAGAACGTGCCACACTTGCTGTCTCACTTTATCGCGAGGAGCTTCCCGTGGACAGCCAACGAATCCGTTGGACACTGATCGGCCGGTAGGATTATATTCGCCAAAAGCTTCGCTTGAGCTCCCCGTAAATGGCTCTTCTTCTGCGTAGGCTCGTCCGGAACCACAGTGATTCGACCTGGTGGATTCTGCGGCGTATTTACACTGGTCGTCGGGGGCGGATTAAACGACTGCACGGAAGTTACCAAGCGCGTTTGGCCATGTAAAGCTTTCGAGTCGGGGATTACGCGATAGTCTTCTGATTTTATTTTACCGTTGCATTAAGATTTGCACCAGCTGATCATTGAGTTCTTCAGATTTATATTCAGTTTAGACATTGGCTTCTTTTTTTTTAGTTTATTAATTATCTGTACTTAGTTTTTACAATATTTACAAATTATATATACATTATATTAATGCTGTATTATTGAGTTTTTTTTTCTTAAATTATTTGGACTATTTAAAGATGAATAATTCATACGGATTATGAATATATGATTATTTATGTAACAATTTTAACATTTTTTTAAACAAATTGATGTACGTGCGTGGAAAAAAAAATCTACGATAAACTTTATAATAATTTACTTTATTTAAAATTTACTTTTATTTAAAAATGTATATATTAAGGGATATTGAGAGAGAATAATTGTAAAATGTGCTTTAAAACAGCTCAGTTATTATCATATTATTGAAAATCAGATAAACTTTATTTTGCATTTATTTTTATGTATTAGTAGTTACATCAATTATTATGTATATTCTACAATAATTATGTATGAAATAATATATATATATATATATATATATATATATATATATATGAAATTTCAATTATAAATGATATTTTCAACATGATTGTATAATAATGTATTAAACGAATACAAGCATACTTAAGCATTTATAAGTAACATCTTATTTTTAACGACAAAAAGTTGTCTTCTGATAGAATTAGAATCTCATATAATAACTTTTTAAATGCATAAAAGCTATCATATAATTTAAAAAATCAATCTCTATAAAGCATTTAAAAATTTAAAAAAATTTAATTTAACCAAAAACAATTTCTAAACATGTTCTTGAAATTGTTTATAAATTTATATTTTACCATCCATTGGCTTTTCAGTATAATTCCAAATTACAATGCTCATCTCATTCTAATAAAAGATCAGGATTAAACTATATTTATCTTCCCTTATGAAATCTCACTATATTCTATCTCTATTCACAAATTATATCTTGAGCGCGGTATGATATCATTGTTGAAACTTAAACATTATTATTGGAAAGTTAGACAAAGTCCGGTTGTGAATTCTGACAATGACATCACGCTTCATCGACATCCACCTTACCTCGTGTTCGAGAATCGTCACTTTGAAATTTCAAATTTCAAATAGATAGACGCGAAGAAAAAGCTAATACCGAATTAAGTACTCGTGCAATTATAATGACCCTATATGCAAGCGATGTATTATTTGAATTTATGCTCGGGCATCATTGTTATCTCGTGGTTCGAGTAGCTCAGACCTGATTAACTTAATCATAATTGCAAGCTCTGGATTAAGACATTTTGCGTCGGCGAGGCGTTATGCAATGACAGATGCAAAGTCTATTTTAAAGCATTTGTACATCTGTTTAAGAATTTTCATTTTCATAATTTTAGATTTTATATCATTTTCGAATAATAGAATTTAATTTAGAATTTTTAAGAACTCTAGTTTAATCCAAAATACCCGTGAGTCTTAAAAATATTAAAAATATACCTTTATGATTAGATAAATCTTCGAACACATGTTATATAATATATTAAAGAAATATTTTAAGAACATTAAAGGTAGATCAAATTTAAATCATATATTTACTAATAAATAATGGATCGTACTGGAAAGTTACTTTCAAAAATAAAAAAACAAAACTGGAATGGAATAATATTAAATTTTAAATCTTGGAAAAGATATTTCAAACTTTCATTAAAATATATTTTCATAAACTCTTCATTTTATGTACATTTACGTACAGTCTAAACCTTCAATATAATAGTGCGATTTATTAATTTTATTTTATAATTAAATACTTTTTTATAATAACTAATATTTAAAAATTATTTATTACATTTTAGAAAAATTTTCAAAAAACAGTCTTCATGGAGAAAATTTCTTCTCTTCATGAAAATGTTTCTTTAAATTCTTTACGCAAGATAATTTAATTACTTATTTGCATTTATTTGCTAAGGTAAGCAAAGTGCTATTTTAAATATTTAAACCATTAATAATAGCTATTAAAAATATAATACTAAAAAATATTAATTTTTTTTACTTCAACGAATATGAATTATTTATCATTCATTTACAATGAAACGTTATAGTTTATGTTATAATACTTTATGTCACGAAATGTGTTATGTTAACTATAATTTTTATTTTTTTTTTTTATTTTCGAAATGAATTAAAAAATTAAATATAAATGCTTAGAAATAATACCATACGATAATATTCTCTAATCTTACGAATGCCTAATAAAATTTTTATTCTATATTCTCGTATGTGGAAAAAACATAAGCACATAATTAGCGCTTTTATAATGTTCTCATTAATATAAGTAATTAAGGAATTATTGTATTAATTCGTCAAAACAGTTTTTCAAATGCTGAATATAAATGAAAAAAATACAAAATTTAGCTTGATCTGTCGAATAAATGAATCCATCTATTTTATATTGAAATTTTAATAATATTATCAATTATTATTTATCTTTAAAATTCAATCTTCATTGCATTTGTCATTTCCCTCAAACTTAATGATTTTATATTTTATAAACTAATAAAGTATATTATTCGATGAAGTGCAATTATTGGATAAATTTAAGATTATTAAATTTTATGTCGATCATGAGAATCATGTGTTTCACAAATTTATATTGGTAACATTGTTAGGTTGAATAGATTTTTACCTTCAAATGTATTAAAAGTTATCGGCATTTTTATGGAAAATAATACGATTAATAAGAGCGAAATTTGATGGGGAATGTTATAATTGCATTATGTCTGGATTGTGTAGCCGAGTGTGTTGAAAAAATTGTAGAGTTTTTTGTGTACGTCAAGACTGTATACTTGGGTTATCGTTTGTGTCGACTTGATGGTCGATATTGACTTCGGTAAGAGACTTTTCTTTTGATGCTACCAGGGTTATAACAGTGTGCATGGAAAAAAACAAAGTAAACTCAAGCCAAGCCGACAGGAGAATATCCTGCATTATAAAAGGAAGAAAAGTTCGTGAAAGGCAGAAATGAAAGTAAAATCTGGAAGAAGTAAGCCCGCACGTATTTGGCAGTATTCACATCTTTTCCGCATTGTTCGCGTTTTCTTGGTAATGTTCGTGTCTTTTCCGACTAAATTCGTGATTTTCTTTTGTTTTTTTTTCCTTTTTTTTTCTCCCTTTTTTTTTTCTTTTAAACTAAATTAGATTATGATAATGGCATATAAATGGAACCGAAAAAATTATATCGTAGACTAGGATGAAAGAAATATCGCAATTGAAGCTAAATTAATTTTTCTTTGAATTTTAACAATGCCTTTACAATTTTCTTAAAACTATCATTTATACAATATTTCGTTAAATAATGCAAACATTTGTTGAAAAAATGTATTCTTGATAGTTAAGAATTAAGAATTATATTAATAATTGGCCATGTATATAGACATAATCTTACGGATGAATGTTCTTTAGAACATCATCATTCCGATAAGAAAACAGAAATTATACAGGGAATTTATAATAACATAACTTATTACTTTTAATTTATCGTCCGATAAATTGTACGTCTGATATATTATATGTCAGATCACATACTTTATCCTAAATTCAAATTGTAATTAATATTTTATAAATTCTCTAATAGCATCTGAATATTGATATTTCATGGAAACAATCTTGGGATTTCAGTGGTTCCAGCTTCTCTTCGTATTATCATTATTATCAAAAAAGTATTGGCATGAATCAAGCGGAATGTTCTATCTATGTATTTGGCACTAAATTTTGAAAAACACACAGTTACTCTACAATTTCAACTGGTACACCACATCGGAAGCAAGTATGATTAATTGAATTCTCTTTAGTACTTTGATGCTGGACGAAACTGGCAGTTTCACTCTAGCATCGCTTTTCGCTCGTTTATCCCGTGTCCACGAACTTCCCTATTACCTCGCTTCTACCTCGGTGGGCGAAAGTTTTGCTCGCGTACTGACCTGTGCACCGACGAGTCCGGCTCGCAGCCTCGGTATGTCCGTGTGACTCCAATCGGACTTGGCCCAGGGGTCAACCCTACCCAAGTCGCTGCTCAGATTCACCTCTCCCAATTGATTGTGTACGAACTTCCTAACGTTCCAGGGCAAATCGTTGTGCCTGACAAATAAAAGAATGCTCATGTACTGTGCTGTTCGTTGCCCCACTCATCACTTGTCCACAGTCAACTTCTAATAACAAAGCTTTTGTCCTACACTTTATATTTGCATTTTTATTAGATCTACGTTGACGGTGAATTGTTACGTGCTTAGATGACTAGATACTCTAAGAGTCTTAGAGGGGGGCGGGGGGCGGGGGGAGGAACATAGTGGGAAAAACTGTTTAATATTGAATATGTATTTTTATCTGAGATATTCCAGGAATATAATGTAAATGAATTTCTACGTCTAGACAAATATATGTAATAATATTAGAATTAAGTTATTCATCAAATACTATCTAGTTCACTTTTACGTTTATATGTTTTTTATTTACAAGTGTAACAAAATATGAAGAGTTATTTAAACGTTTAAAATAAATATTGAACGTGCTTTTAATAAACTAAATTTTAATTGATAAATAAATAAAACGATAAATTTTCAATTATTATAAATACAAAATAGTAACTAATAGAAAATATGAATATTCGAGAGGGTATTTCGACAATTTTATTGCTCATGCTTATAATGATCTATCTTAAATTATAATGATCTATTTTAAAGAGTTAAGCATTAAATTCATATCTTGAATGGGTATGAAATAAAATAGTATCTCGATAAATTAAGATGAGGTTATAAAGTCATGTATCTGAGATGCAGATAAGAAAGTCATATTTCGCTAATGTAATCTACGAAGTCGTCTTCTCTTTACTTTTAGAAGAAGTAAATGACAATTAAGATAATATCAATATTACCATATTATTTATAAATAAAAATTTTATGTATTTTTTTCTATTTAAAATTTGTACGTTAATATTTATAAGCCCAACGGAAAATACATCGGAAATGTATGAAGTTTGTACAAAGTGAAACAAATGACACTAAATGTACAATATATTTAAATAACAAATGAATTAGAAACAAATAAAGCTTCACAGCTGTATATAGTCTAATATTATATACATATGCCGACTTTGATGACAGAAGAATGTATATTTAGAATTATTTTCTATGATAATGTCTGTCGTCACAAGACTTATGTCTCTATTTAGCGTAGCTGTAGATTCTTCATTATTAATTTATAAATTTTGTACGTTTGATTTTCATGTATTTGAATGTTCGCTTCATACTCTTAAAATCCTACAACTTCCTATTTAAATAGCCGCTATTGTATTGATTTATGTTTTTTTATGTGTAAAGTGAAAATACTAATATTTACGAAAACTATAAAAAAAAAAAAAAGTGTACCTCTAAAGTATCTTATATATATATATATATTTAGGATCATTTGAATATTTCTGAATATTCGAAGCCTGCAATGGCAATATTTATCGATCAATACCTGTTTTGACAGTATATTTGAATTAAAGATTTTTAGCTTTTCAAATAAAAACTGTGTTTTCCAATAAAGCGCAATCCCTCCACCCCCCCCCCTCCAGCCATACTCAGATACGTTTATAAAAATGATAGAATTTACACATAATCATTTAGAAACCTTGAAAATTGATTATTAATATTTTTATAAATCACTCACCCTTACTAAATTCAACTTTGACTTTCCACTTCAGATTCACATCCCACTTTTTTCTCCATTTTCCAAGACTGTATAAAGAAAGCGTGTAAAGTTTAACCGATGAACCGCGGCTTTTTAATTATTAAAGTTATTACTTAGCCGTCAAATCTGTATTACCGTACGTGCAAAAGTACCGGGATTCCAACTATTATAAACGAAGAATCAAACATCAACGAATGCCCTAGCACCTTCACCCTATCACCTCCATCCCTCAGTCCGCCGCCGTCGTCCCCATGGCGTACGACGATTCGGGGGTTTATCGTACCGTAGCAGAGGGTGGAAACGTGTCATACTGTATAATTGTAAAGGGAGATAAAAATATTGGGCTCGCTTACCCGTCAATTAGAGGCACTTCAGTGAGAATCCTCCTGATAACGTCCAGCCTTTGCTGATGCGTGGCAGGAGCACTTTGGAGGAGCAGCGGCAAGCAGAGGCCGCCTAGAAGCAGGGCCGCGACGAGCAGGAGGACGGGCGCGAGGAGACGGTATTTGCGCCTCGGGCCGTTGTCTCGGCGACGGTCCTTACTGCTGGTGCCGCTGCTCGGCGAGTCTTCGCAGGGGCCGGGAAGGCGCACAGTACCGTTGCACGGCGCCACGTCCGGTAGTTCGGTTAGGCACGTTGTCTGTAAAGTAAAGGATAATCCCATTAAAGCCCTAGTCCTCACTCGTTTGTCCTTCTTCGGCATTAAGCTCCCGAACAGGAGACTCTGAGCGATTTAATATCGACCGGGCAATTAATGCAATTTAGTAGGAGCGCTAGATTGGGATACTTTCGAGCGACTCGACAAATTCGCATGCTAGAATGTTTAATAGTGTTGGGGAGCACTTTTATCTGATTTATGTAATCGGGGGTGAAAAATGACGAGGTTTTTCCCAGCTAATAATCATTTTTCTAACTTTATATTAAGACTTACGGTGCTTATAAAGCTTAGATCGATAATACTCAAATAGGACGTGTATACTTAGTATAAATTGTCATTTATGGAGACAATTTCTCACATCAATATCCTATAATAAGAAAAATTTACAAAACTCGGCAATTAAAATATCAACAATATGATGTAAAAGTATAATTAGTATTAATTACGTGGGTAAATTCAATGGGCAGTAATAGTATTGTAAATGGTTTTGTATTATGAGAGCATTCATTGTACTTCCTTTCATACGATTATAGATTTTATTTATTATAACAAATACATATCTATATACCAAAGATAGATATTATTTATAATCAATTCATAAATTTATTGGAAAATTTATCTAAATATCGTTTGCTATATTCTTACTATCATACTGATTAAGTTTCTTTTAGAAACGAAAGGTAAAGCTTTATCAAAGGATATTACAATTTTATAATAGATTTTACAATTTGACAATAGATCATATTAGATAAATGAAATTAAATATTTAATGTATGAAAGAATGGATATATATATATATATATATATATTTTTTTTTTATATGAATTTAATAATATGAAGCTATCATTAGAATGTTTTAGGACAAAACAAGCTTATACATTAATATATAAATTACTATCACCGACTTGAAAAATATAATTTATCGTAAAAGTTATTTAAAGTTTTAATTAATGCTTAAACAACAATAATCAAAAGCATATTTCTAAATTTATACGGAATCACTCGATGATAAAAAATATGAATTTATTCAGAATCAGGAAATATTTTTTAGGTCCACATAACCTTCTGGGCACAATTATCAAACGTCCTTATACCGTTTTTTTTTTTTTTTTTTTTTTTTTTTTTTTTTTTTTTATCATTTTTATAGGAAATCAGCTGCAGTTGTTTAGCGTTAAGTATTTAAAATTATTATCAATAATCGCGTAATTCATTAAATATCTACGTTTTTAAATATACGACTCTTGTTTAAAATTAATGAACTAAGCTATACGATACTGCTTTTGTATCTTATTTCAAATAAATATATATTTTATGATTATTGGAAAATTATAATAATAATTATTACGTATTTATGTAATAATAATTATTCCTTTTTGTGATAAAATCTCAATCCAACTGCTTCATTTTATATTGTCGCTTCTTGTTACTCTTATAATTTTGTTATTTTCATAGTTTGACTCGGATTATCTCGAAAATTTAATTGAATGTTTTGAGATGATTAAACATTAAATATTAAATGCTTATCTTTAAAATTATCCATGTAATATAATAATTGTTTGTCATTTACAATAAATATAATATAATAAATAGTTGTTGCCTTATTCATTTTACAAATTTTATAAAATTGTAAAGTTCAAATGGTGCAATTGAGTATAATGGTGTTTGCCATTTGATTTATCGATTAAAATGAATATTGCCAACAATAATATTATATAATGTGATCAATCAATACGAATTTAATCTTTAATTAATATTTGAAATTATTCTATATTCGAATAGAAAATACCATCTCTAAAAAGTCCCATTAAGTAAACTGAAATTTTAAAACGTAATTACTATGTAGTGGTAATGGATTGCATGGCATAGTAGCCTAATGCAATACAATCCGAACGAGTAAAACTTTTTCGATCAAACAATACGGCGAACGTTTAAGACAAGAAGAATGCCGATCTTCTTAAAAAATCGGAACGCCGAAGCGGGAAAAAGGGATGATCAGATAATACGAAGCTCCCGTATCAAGCAAGAAATTGCTAGTGTTTCGAAAGCATTTAATCCGTGAAATCGCGCAGAAAGTATAATCGTGAAATTAAATTATCGACTAAAAGTACTTTAATTTAAGATGCACGAAATAGAAGTAGTAGGGGTGTAAATTTTAATTCAAGTTTCACTATTACGATTCTAACGCTCGTGTACCCTCTCTCTCTCTCTCTCTCTCTCTCTCTCCTCATGATTCTTTCATTCATTTCACATAGGGTTTGTTTATTCTCTATTCTTATATTTCTTTCTTTATAGCTGTTGTTTGCTTTTTATCACTTTATTTCTTTACGTTTTCTTACAATTCTTTATTACATTTTAGTCGAATTTTTATACTTTTTGTTTCGTAGCTTCTACCTACTATGTCGACAGTTAAAAGTAAATAGTGGAACAGAGACATACGACAGTTAATTTTTCTGTTTAAAATATGCTAAATAATTAATAAAGTGTCAAATAAACGAAAGTGAGTACAACACATTTTTGGATTTATATAATATTCAACATTATTTATTTGATTCCTCCTTCGAGCTCTCATATAGAATGATAAACTATGATAAACAAAACTTTGACAAGCGAATAAGAAGATTACTATATACTACTCTTAAATATATTACCGGTATAATCTGCGCTGATGTGATTTTCTTACAATTTATTTATTATTAAATAGTCTATAACAATCCTACTATCGCAATACGAACAACTGCTTTTATTTAATTATGATATATTCATGTGATTTAGGCTGGTAGTTGTTTGAAATACCTTGTATTGAAAATTCTCCGTAGCGATATTGGAGATTACGTATCTGAATAACAATTTTCTAATATTATCATTATTTGAAAATAAGCTCAGATTTACGGTTAAAAGGCGCAATGCATATTTTAAAAATAAGTCTCTGGTTTATGCAGCGATTAACATATCACAATACTAATTTGTTTTATGCGCTTCTAAATAAAATTAAATAATTCAATAATAACTACATGCTATTTTTATTATTATAAAATGAATATTCAATTTGGAACTTTTTAATTTATAATCTCCTAGTTAAAAGTTAAAACTCTAGATTCTACATCTTTGTCATCTTAGAGTATATTGCTTTTATAAATGAAAAAAAATGTAAAGGTAACTTTGTCGACCAAAAATTTTTTTTTTTTTGCATAATTGAAAAAATGTTAAGGGTATAAATGCTACACTAATTATATTTATGAGAATTGCTAATCCGCAGAGCTATCGGATATCTCAACTGCAAGGATGAGGATTGGAAATTAAAATGGAATTTAGTACACCGGATATTTCAGCGAATACCTTTATTAATTATAAAGCGTGAAGGCACAAGCAGATACGTAATTCTCTTATATCGCAAAATCGCTTTGCTGAAAGTAGATTCGTTGTTATTGTAAATTTTTGCATTTATTGAATAATATCGCCGAATATACCTCATAAATAATATTGACGATTTACGGCTAATTATTTGCGATGATATCGTAACATAAAATTGTTTCTACATCTCCTATGCTTATTAGAATTAGCAAATATTGATAGCCTCATTAATTGTACTCCATGTATAACAATAAAGTTGACTCTATTTTTTTCACTTGTACATCATTGTTTTATAATCGTTGCTGATTGCTGATTAGGTAGAATGACCTAAAGATCTATTATACTGCCAAACTCTTATTTTGTTATTTCGTGCTGAACTCGCATTCGTTTGATAGCTGAATCTGTTATATTTCTAATACTATTACGATTATAGTGTATGTACCAGCAATTTGGTGCATTACTGTATCAACTGCTTTTGTCCATTTTCTGCGAGGAAAGCTAATACGGATATGCAAAAGAAAGAAAAAATAACTTTTTAATAAAAAAAATTTATTTAACATTTCATAGCCTATAGTAATGTTTGAATAAATAATGTGTATGCTTAAAGAAATTATAACTTTATTTATTATAAATTATAATTATACTTATTCAAGCCTAGAAAAAATAACACAATATCATATCACTGATTCTAATAATTTTATTTTAAGATATGATAAATAATATATTCGTTTTTTCACTTTCCATATATATTAGAAAATGAACATTATTTTAGTATTTTTAGAAATACATTATTTGATTTCACTTTTATTCTTTGTTGTTGAAGTTTTATAGCACTTTCGTGTTTTGATTGATAGACAAAATTTTTTAAAAGAATAATAATTTCTAATTCCAACTTTATTATTTATAAAATATTTACATATATATAAATTTATATTCACATATAATAAATAACTTAAAAAATTCGTTTGCTTACAATAATAAAAACAAATTGTTATTTTACACTTAGAACAACAAAAATTCCAATTGAATTCAGATAAAATATGTTCATTATATAATGAAATATAATATATAAACTCGGTATTTTGGTAGAAACACAATTTACGTATTTCTGAACTATTTTAAGTTTTTGTAGTATAATGAAGTTTTTCAATCAACAAAATAACTTTAAATTAATTTTCAAATAATTTCATTTATTATTTTATATATTAAAGTAAAAAAAAGCATTTATCAGTTTAAAAATAAATTTAATAATTAGAATTATATTTTAAAGACATTAATTTTATTTTTTTTTATATTTTATTTATGGTACATTCTGTTTTGTATGAATTGATTTCGAGTCGATTTTCATGTTATATACTGTAATCGAATTTCTGCTGATTCTCTATGTCGAATACAAGTTTTTGCATTCTTATTTCGTATTTCCGTAATCAATAGATCGAATTGTATGAATAAAAATGTGCGATTTTGTAATTTTGCATGTAAAATATTCTACCATTAATATTATTTTTTTAAATATCTACAATTAATGCTAAATAACAAACTAATATATGATAAATATTTATCCTCATCTAACAATTAACTCTCTACTTGTCTTTCGTATTTTTCCTAATTTATGCTTTAAAATTTGTTGT